TGGGTTATTCATCTTCGATGTATACCAAGGTGTGTGAAGTGCTCATTAAAAAATAAAACTAGTAATTAGTGAGTATGTAGGTTATTAATAATAGTTAATTTAAGACGCGTCTATTCTATAGCTGTAATAATCAAATATAATAATATTTATTATATAATATATCAGATTTGATAGTTTTGTTCATTCCAATTCAGCTTGTTAAAGAAGAGGGGGTTATACGTAGCAGGCCTAATTATCATTAATATGTATGTAGCATTTAAGAAGGGATCAAACTACTGAAAGAGATTAGCAAACTGATTTTTTTAGTTTAAGTTTTCAAATCATTTATTTCTGAGGTTTCATGCTCATACAAACTTGCACAAGTTGCGAATTTCGTTCTCCGTATCGAAATGTGTTTAATAATTTTATTTTATCGTGTTATGACAATGCAGCATTGCTATTGAAAAATAGGTTTCTGTTCTTGTTTTGTTCATTGAAAAGCTCATTTAGTGTACTTGCAATACAATACTCCAATACGCGATAAAATTTAGTTTTAGTTCAGTTTAGTTACCTCCCGCTTGAAGAGCTCTCATGAAGGGTACAACTTCGTCTACATCCGGGTTCGAACGAACATATGATGATAAAAGCAAAAATGACTTTTAAATTAAAGCACTATGTATTCGTGCAACTAGATAGTTGTCTATGACATGAAGGAAGAGAGGAGGATTAGAATAACAGTATATTAGTAGTTTCGCCACTTACCTTTGTTCTGTTGGATATTTCACATAAATCTTACACAGTGCCACGTGTAGCAGACAGACTGCTAGAACAACAGCAAGTGTTAACTTCATTTTCTGCTTTTACCTGAGAGATTCGATTCCCGGTCGTTTGGTTGTGATTGTCTAGAGGAACAGTGACTATATATACAAAAATTGTCCCTAATTAATGATCAAGAATTTGGATCGTAAATTTTCATTTTTACACATTTGGACCTTTCATTAATTTAAATTGACATTTTAATGAGCGATTTTGAATAAAACAATACCACAAGCGTTGGTGTAGATGCACAAACACCAGACTTGATAAATGTTCAAATCAAGGCCTCAGATGACATTGGTCAAAATCCTAAATTGCGACTTTTGTATTAAAGCAAATATAATTAATCTGTGGACATGGGCCATTGTTTAGATTAATGGTTGAAATAAATTCATACGATTGACAATAACAAAAAAATAGCTGAATAAATACATATATCTTTGATGCACAGGGTGTTAACCTTCCATCCATTGACATGGTTAAAATAGGCCTTGATGTTTTGTTTTTAACCTTCACCGAATGTTCACCCACAGCCCCCAGTTCACTTTAAGCGAAAATAAATGGAACAAATTTTTCTATTTCGAAAAGAAATTTAATAAATTCATTCTGCTTCTCGAATTCCATGCTGGATTGGATACATGCACTGTTTTGGCTAGTAACATCCCATCTAGTATCGAGTATAAGAAAAGCATTATTTATCATATCTATGCAGGGCTATAGGAAATTATATTTATCATTGTAAAACTATGAATTATTATCTCCAGTCTCAACTCCCTTATGACGTCATGTTTAACTTCATGCAAACATAAACAGCTTTAACTTGTATCCTATGCATTCTGATACTCATATCATCTTTCTGTTTCACCTGAAACATGATCTCAGGGCTGAGAAGATTTGAGATGCCATGGTTTATCATGATGTATCCTAAGGGGTAATGACTTACCAAACATTTGGAGTGTATATCTCAGTAGAAAGTGAAAATAGAAAGGCTGTTTGCATGGTTGGTCTGTACATGTACACTGGTGACTGTGGATGGAGACGGCAATCCTTCAAGATCAAGATCAAAAACTCCAGTTTTTTCAAAACCTACCGTAAAAACTCCCGTTTTTTCAGAACCTACCGCAAAAACTCCCGTTTTTCTGAAATCTTCCATAAAAAAGTCACGTTTTTCAAAATTTACCCGTAAAAGTATCGCAATTTTTTTTAAATCTCCCGAAAAATTTTCATTTTAGGTTGGCAAGTCTGTTTAAATAGTATCTTATGGGGGTAATGCATATACTACACAAGTTATGTTATGGTTATGGAAATTGTAATTCTTATGATTTTTTATATTACTCCTAGCGGTTTCTTTTATTTTTCAAACATTGCCCTAAACATTGTCATTTCTCATTTGATAAAATGAATGATTGAAACAGTAAATAGTGATTTGCCCTGATTTGCCCATGGATGCCTTTGTCATAGTTGACGTAAAAGCCTATTCGAAATAATATTTATCTATCAATATTTTCAGCCCAATAGTATTAATTCATCCTAATAGCAAGATATAAATTGTAATACATTCCAACTAATGTATTTATTCGATAATTTATAGACAGTGTCTATATCTATCTATCTGATACGCATTGATTTTTACGAGATTTATTAGGAACGACGGTGAAAAAAGCCACGCAGGGTGCAATATTTCAGACTAAGCCTTTATCATTCATTAGCTCATACAAAGTGCAACAATCGGCATGCAACACAAAGAGGGGATGAACCTAAAGGTTCTTAATGTAATGAAATGTAAAATAATTTGTTCAACAAAAAATAGATGGAAACATACCAAATTATATAGTAGTCTGTATATAATGCAACATACATATCTTGACTTGCTGGATATCCTACAAGGGTTGTTACAGGGTAACTGTATTGTATATTCATTACCTCATTTTTTATTCTATATGAGAGAATACATTTTGATATGATATATTGACATATAAGATAAAAGGATACGATTAAATTATCATTGTGATAAAAAAGTCGTTTTGTATATGAAAACAAATTAGGTGAGGAAGAAATTATGAATCAAGCAGGGCCAACAGGGCACATGTTTTACATAGAGTACAGTATATGATGATACAACTTATTTGTTGCACCACCCTCCAAACGCAGGGTTCCAGACGTCATCCACTAAGTTCCTTCCTTCTTCCGGTACGAGTTCTGGAGGCCTGTGTTCGGAGGATGGTGTTGCACCGCGGAATATCTGAAAGACCTAAAACTTTCATCATGGTAATATTCACAGTTAAGGACTTCAAAATGGCATGCCTATATGGCTCATACATACGCCACCTTGTTAGGAAATGTTCAATTGTTTCAGTTTAGCAAAGGTTAGACAATATGCGTCATTTTGAATCATTAAACTTTGTGTTTGATGTTTGAGAGTTACACAGAAAATGCAGGTCATAATTTTACACTGACTTTGATATTTGGGATATTTCTACCATAACGAGCACAATATGCAAGCTTTAAATTTTTTCAGGACGAAACCGTAACTGATGACAAGGTGAAATTGAAGAAATACATTAATTTTTCCAACAAACGCTACACAGACAGAATACTAGTAACGCCCTTCCAGGGTCGATCGAGAGTGAGAAAATGTGCTCTTCTTGAAACGTACGATTGAATGTGATGATGTCATTAATTACAAAGCTGAAATAATTGATAACATCATTACTCGGGACATTTTTTACTTTAACTTTATTTTTGTAGACCGTGGTGCTACTGAAGTTTAATGAGGTTTATCCCCAGGTATCACTAAAAAGAACAATAAGCAATGGAGTGCTCATTATATGCTCTATCATGTGTTTTCAACAAAAAAAGCTCATTCAAGCACACCAACACTCACATCATTCTTTTGAAAGACATCACGTTTTATTGCAATCGGACTCCTGTGGTACACTAGCAATGCAACAAGCCGGCGCGGTTGACACACACGAGCAGCCGACAAGGTTGCCACAGCGTAATTAGCGGTTAAAGTGCGCTTGGATGAACTGCTTTTGTTGAAAACGTATGAGCATGTAAGCAACGCATGGGCTCATTGTTTTTTCGTGATACCTAGAGGGAATACTTATTATATATAATGCAATGCACTTGCCCGCGGGCAGTTCAAAAAAGCAGCCAAGATGAAACGTGGATCTGATAATGTTTCATATGACTTTAATTTATAATTTCCAACCATAATTGCAGAATTTGTTGAAATAATGTCTGTCCGTCATGTACAATGTTTCATTGTACTTACTTTATGCTCAGGGGTATGATCCTGAGACCAACCTCACGACAATCTTTTGAAAAAATTATCATTGTTCACAAAAATCATCATTGTTTCTATAATTCTAACTCTATCATATTGAAATATTGATTAGATTAACATTACATTTTTTATACATCATCCAGACACTTCAGTTTCTCAAATCAATGAAAGAATTGCGAGAAATTAATTATTATTTGATAGTATACGACGTGAAAGGAGGTTTACGATATTTCATTCTAGATTTCTAATTCCCTGAACGTCGTTCTCCTTTTACGTCGTACACTTTCAAAGAAAAATTAGTTTCCCCGGAATTCTTTCATTGATTTGGGAAACTGAAGTACCTGGATGATATGTAAAAATTGTATTGTTAATCTTATCAATATTTCAAGATGATAGGGCTAAAATTGTAGAACCTATGATGATTTTAGTGAAAATTTATTGTTTTAAAGGAATTGCCGTGCTTTCTAGAAGGTTTAAGAAGTTTTAGACTGTGTTCAAACGAAATGTCGAGACGCAGTGATACTAGAGGTATATCTGCATGGTATCGTCAATGTTTCTACGAAAGGGAAAGAACCACATTCTGTCAAAACGTCGAAATAAATTAGTACTCACAAATCTCCCGAGGAAAATAATATAACGTCGTAAACTTCCGGTGCTACGACCTATAAGAGAAGTGGGTGTGATAATGCCCTCGTGTCAGAGATTAACATAATTACTGTTATATAAGATTGTTAATCAACTGCCTCCATTTTTACATATGGACAGAGATTTGAAATTATTTAACTTAATGAGCAATACTAGTATTTACCTATATGTTGCAAAGGCCTTTGGCCAACTGCTGAAACTTCGAGAAAATTTTCTCTATAAATGATTTACATGTAATTATAGTGTCCTATAGGTCGTTGTCGGATTGGGGTGTTTTCAGCTTATTTTATATGTTTTATAACTCATGACACTTTAATAAAATAAATAAATATATATATATATAATATTGAAAGAAATATATTATATTTAATAAAAGATGTTTATACACTGATGCAACAATACCTCGTTTTCAGGGTATATAACACCCCTGGGACGTGCACATTAGAATAAACCCCGGACGAGTACAAATATGACGGCAATGACATAAAACACCCTCTCTTAGGAATAAGTAGTCCTCTGGGGATTATGGTCCCCTCCACGGCTCATATTGCCCCTGATTGAATATAAACTAACTAGTATGTGTTAATCATAGTCACTGTGCAAAATTAATCAGTGGAGAGAGGGAACATAATTTAGACAATCAAATTGCATTAGTAATGGGACCACTTTGTTTTAAAGAGAGAATCAGATCTAGTGAAAAAGCTAAACAAAATTGCCTCAATTTTTAGAACAATTTTGGCTCATAACATTCCTCGTAGGGTCTATTCTCTAAAATTCCTCAAAGTTCATACTTTATTCCAAAAAAACTTAAGAATTTTACAATTATGTGTTATTTTTCTATTTCTATGGTTACTATATTTATAATTTGGGAGAACTTCAACACTTTACTCTCATTTTTGCACTTTGAATCCAACCAATTTATAAATACCTCGGATCTTTTGGAGATATTTTATTTGAGATCACAAGCTCACAACAAGGAGCAACTGGTAGCCAATTGTGCATGTTACCTACAACTTTGTCACCCCCTATAGATCTGATTCTGCCTTTACTATAGTTTTAGGTTCTGATGATTATTCTAGTAGCAAAAGGAGACAAGGGCAGGTCGAAAACTAATCCATCGTAACTGGAAATGTCACATTGGAATGATATCCTGAACGCTTATAAAGCCATGTCTGATTGAGATGTCCCAATGAGATAAATAAATCCCACGGTGTTAAATTGATAGGCTAAACACGTAAGTCGTGGATATCAGAGAAGATTGATGACGTCTCCTCTATCTACTTCTTTATATTTAATGTAGATTTATCGAGGCTTATAAGTACTAATATTCCTCACTTTCCGGAATTACTTATCACTGAGCTTCTACAGCTAACATAGCACGCTTTCCTCCGTGAGAAAATATTTCGAATGTCGTTTCTAAATCTTGATCCGCTCAGACAGTACAGATAAAAGTTCACAGATGCGTTCGTAAAGAATAGCTTATTTGTTATGTGGTAGATTAGCATATATGTTGCATACACCTCCGGCGATGCATGTTTATCCAATATGGCGTAGATTATATAGCGCAGGTATTGGGGAAGGGAGAGAACGAGGAATGTAAAGGTGACTGCCAGGAGCATAAAGGTCAACTGAGCGTCCCTATTCCGATGTCCGTGATCAGCACCATGGGTGTGATGATTGGGAAGTGAGGTAGAAGGACTCGGCGGAGGAGACACATGGTTCGAAAATAGTTGAATTGGTGAATCTGGCGGTTCATGTTCAGTTATGATTTTCGGACAAGTCTCCTTGCCTTTCTCTGTTTTATTTGTACTTTCCAAGAGCAAAGGGGTCGCATGGTGTTTATTTTCTTGACCGTTGGTGAACTCGCCAAGGCTTTTAGGTATATGCCCCGAGACTTTGTAATTATGGTTTTTCTCTCGTGTGTATCTCGGTGTACGAGGCATTTTGGATGTTTTGCGTTGTAAATATAACAAATCATCTTTAGAGTCAAGACATTTTTCTTTAAGACCATTCCGATCAGTATCCAGAGATTGTAGATTTGGTTGCAATTCATTAAACTCTAACGTATGATTTTGAAGGTCAACGTGTCCATTAGAGGAATCGGGCCTATTAATATCAGAAATGATATTGATTTCCTTATTCCCCTTGATACAGCCACGTGTGATATCAGTGGTTACCTCGTTTTCTTTTAAATGATTGATATGTTCTGTCATATTGAGCTCAAGTACACCTTTCTGATCACCGAGGTTAATATCAATATTTCCTTCGTCATCAGATTCAACAATACGCTGCATTTCGTATCTTTCTTTTGTGGGACAATCGTTTGGTTTGTTGCACTTCGTTCTTTTATACCGTTGTAAGTTAATACCTTGTTCTATATGGACCTGTCTTTGTGAATGTCGGCTGTATAATGATCCAGTACTTCCAATATTTACTGCACCAAAACACTGAAAAAATCGTCTGCTTTTTCGAACTTCAAGAATTATCGTTACATTCAGCGCGAGGAGCACAAAAAATGGAAAAAGTACAGCAAGGCAAATGTTAGCCCACGAAAACACCCTTGAGACTGTGTCAACAGTAGATGCACCTTCGCAGAATATCCCATTGGCCATTACACTGGTGGTCCATAGATGAGGTAAATTGTATACAACCAAGAACAGAAAACCACCTGTAAGAATAACTCTAAGTTTGCACTCTTTCATACACATGTAGCGTTTGAACGGTGCTTTGATGGCAGTAAATCGATCACACGTCATCGCAACTATTACAAATACGCTGTACGTGGTCCCCAAATGGAGAAAATAAACTTCTAATTTACATTCCAAACTGCTGACATTTCTACTTTGAATACAAGTCACGGTCCAGTAAAAAACACCAATGAGCAATGTAATTGTATCCGTGATGGCCATGATGGCGAGATACCGACACATCTTCACCCGTCGGTTGTGTAGTTGAACCATTACCATCAGCGATAATATATTCCCTACTAAACCTAAAGGAATGATCATTGGAAGAAGATAACAATTGATAGCTTCTCCTATTTTATATGTTTGATAATCCTTGGCTAGTTTTTCGATTGAGCTGTATAGTTCTTCCGTTGTTAAATTACGAATCTCAATGTTTGAAGCATGTGACATTTTAGAGGTGTATACTTCCGAAATTATGCCCTTACACTGAATTGTGTCATTTACAGGTATATCGTTTGTATCCACTGAAAATACATGTCGCATACGTGTTTACTTTAATTTATCAAGCATAGCATTTAAATTACAACTTAATATTGTTTTCATCGATCGATATTACTGCACCGTTCCATTGTTCAATGTATGTGGCTTTTCGTCCTTCCAGTAATTTACTGTGGAATTTCCCTGATTTCTAGCATGTCTGGTATATCCAAAGTGACATCTGCATTGCGTCAAGAGAGCGTAATATAAGGATAATATATACAATATATGGACAGTTGCTGAGGGGGAGTTCTGTTGTTCCTTGAACTATACTGTTAGAACGTATTAATCATTTATCCATCACTTTTATTTTTAATTTCCATATTGTACTTAGCTGTTCGAATAACTCCTTTTCTTTAACTTTGCAACTAAACGTGTCTGCGGCTTTATTTATTTTTAGTTACAGTAAACCTATGCTGTTATTCGAGGAACCGACATTCAACAACATGGACGATTGCAAAAGTAAGATACGAATGGAATACTCTACTTCTTCGTTTTCAGAGTTTGCCGAGTTTTTTCAATCAATCTGAAATCAATTTTTCAGTCATTTTTGTGATATGAGATATTTCGATCATGCCGCAATAAGCTAAAAATTGATGACTCATTTATTCCGGAATATTGCGGAAAAACATAATATTTTTCTAAATCGATAAAATGTTAATTGCTACACTACCCACCCTAAGTTTGACCATCGAAAGACTGTCGTTTAGGACAATAGTTCAAACCCTGTTTATGGTTTAACTCTATCATCCATTTCTGACCTTTTGTGATTCGGAGGACCAAAACTAGGCTGTATACTATTATATTATACTTAGATATTTTAACTTTATCATGTATTTCCGACCTATTGTAATTGAGGAACAAATCAAACACGTCAAGGTACTCTATCAAAAGGAACTTTCAATTTTTCAGACTTATGGCGGAGATTGCGTAAAATGTTAGAATTGGCATATTTGCGCCACACTGACATATTCCAGGCGAAAGTCCGTCCATGTTGTTACGCGAGGAATATTTCGTGTAGCAGAATAGGTGTACACGATGTACTTTCGTGTTTCGTTCGAATTCCATGCTGTAATTGTAATCCTGAGTTTCCCTTCGTTTTGTTTATTTTCCGTGTTATACAGTCTGCGGAGTTTAAGATCTGGTTGTTTGCAGACGGTAAGTGAATGATTGATAGAAAAAATGGCATTTCGCCTGAGACCCACCTGAATAATACATCAATTAATTAGAAATTCTACCCGTTTTGACTAAGAACGTTTCCTTTAAAGCCTAAGACTAAATGATTTTGGAATCATATATCCGATAGGGCACTGGCGTCGTAGTGTTATCAGCCCTATATTAAGATAAGCTTTTTTCGTGTAAAATTATTAAAACGAAAATCCATTTCTTAACTAAGGATTTCTTCGTGTAGCAATTATTAAAGCGAAATCCATTTCTGAACTGACAAAGACAAATTACGTACTCATGATATTTTTCTTCATCATCTTGGTGTGGTCTTATTCAGTTTTCCAGTTTTTTTTATTACGATTGTTGTGAATGGATGTATTGCACGATCGATGAAATATATCCTACAATCCAATATGTGTTTCAACTAACTAATGAAATTCAAAAGGGTATTATATAGGGTATTGTCATAAGTTTGATAATAAACAGCCGGTGCAAAACATTTGCAATATTTATCACATAAATTCCAAAGATATTATTACATTTCCATTTTCCATCGTGATAGTCTTAACGTTGCAAATTACTTCGATTTTTAGGTGCAATGAATCTATTTCCGGACTGACAACCTTTCAAGTGAAATGAATTCGCAGCAGGATTTAACACATATGCTCGTTGTAAATTATCTTCTATGTTGTTCAAGTTCTCGGTCTATTTATTGATGAGCCCCTAGGGCCATTATTTTTCATTTCGTCTCCAAATAATTTATAGCGAAATTTCTCTATTACCAACAGAAGGGGCCTGATTAAATGAACACAAGAAAATACCGGTCTTCTGAGTTACTTCAAGTATCAAGCTTTGCACTCCGTTGATATTGCAGCCATGGACCCAAGGTGGATTTACATATCTAAATACTAATCAATTACTGTTCCTGCAGGGTGGGCGACTTTTTAATGTTTTGCCTAATAATACATGAGCGCACATGGCATCATTTCAAATTTTTGGAAAAATGGTCCTAATTGGAAATAATGAACCATGTATCATCTTTTTATCGCTGAGAGAAATGAAATGTGAACTGTGAGATGCAGAAAAGGTTCTCTCGAAAAATCAAACACAATTTTCTCCCAGTTGATTTATTCTATTAATTGAGGCAAAATGCATACACGTCACATCCATGTCTGTGATCATTTTCATAAGATGCGTTCGAAGTGTTTTGTAATCTTTTTAATATAATGTTACCTCTTGTTCTGTTTTGACCCAGTCTCCCCAAATTGGTACACCCCCTTAGTATCTCTTAATATATCTCTTGGGTATATCTAGCATTTTATTACCGATGTACAAAACGAAGAAACTCGACAATACAAATTGTTATGACAGTTTTCCATGTAAGAAAGTGATCAATTGAATATCCCTACATTGAGCACTTAAAGCATATTTGATAACCAACAAATGAAAATTACAACGGAGTATTCCTCCCAGCTGAGTGTTTGTATATGGCTGTTGAAGTGGAAAATAGATTAGAGATCAAGAACTGATTCAGTTGGGCACCAAGATGTAGTCTTATTATCATCTTTGAGAAGTACTCAACTTCATATAATATACATTTTAATGTATGGTCATACGCATAAAAGGCTTGGACATTTTGAAAGTGAAATGATAGGCGAGCATGCAGCTGTCCATTTTGTGTAAGCTCAGTTACATCTCTAAATATTGATGTTGAAGTTAGAATGAAGGATCGATGTTGATTTGTGGTCAGATGGGCATCTCCATCATCCAAGCAGATGATAATTGACAGTTCTGTGGTTTCTCAAAAACATGGCTTATCGTTTGGAAAAGCGTTTCTTGTTTTTGCCGGTTCCCGTTTCGAAACACTCGCGTGGGTGTCGGTGAAACTAAAAAGTGTTGACGCATGCATTTGTAGTTTTTCATTCGCATTGGATAAGAAGATAATACAGAAAGACTGACTTGGTTTTAAAATCAGCCTGACCTTTAATGAATTTAAATTATGGATCCTTTATGGCCTATAAATATATTTTTTGTAAATTATCACTTACGAAGAGAAAGTAAATATCAATTTTGCTTGAAAGATTGTTCACCTTTTAGGTTGTAAAAGAAGATCGGAGATCTATGAGGTTAACATCCTAGTCTCTGAATGATTTACAGACAATCAATACGTTAATTTGCTTAACTCGAGCTTGAAGTTATTTTTCAAGCATTGTTACTTAGTACAATAAGCTCAGTCTCAGAAGGTGAAATCTATCTTCCCAGATTTGTCATCTTAAAATGAAATAAGCGTTGTATATATTTATTAGGTGTATTTTAGCTTGCAATGCTTGACCTGTTCTGTCGAGAATGTGACTTCTATTGAGATTCCCCATTGGCCCCATGTTATAAAATCACAAAAAGTGAAATATCTTTTCTTGTATTGGACAGATAAAATTTTCTTTTACTTGACATATTTTAATTTCCATAACTATATTTGATACATAAAGGTGATATGAAAATTAGACCACTAAAACTGATGAATTTTCAAGTTTATTTAAAGGGAACTTTCTTTACCTCCCATGCTATCTGACCAGAATTAGCCACCTGGTGGTGAAACTGGTAACTACCTACTCGCATCTGAGTTATTGTATACTGATATTTTAGTTATGCCTCGCATATTGGAACCAATCCAATCTTTCTTTTTTACATATTAAATATTTTTGCTTTTTATTTGGAAATAGTTTCAGAATATTGTCGGGATAGTTATACTTTATAAGACGTCGACCTACTTACTGTACATTTGAGGCATTAGTATAATTACTACATACATTTGTTCCATTAAATATTATCAAAACTGTATAGAGAAATGAAAATAGGTATTTTGGCCCACTCTGTATCGTATTAATAGTATTAGCGATACTATTTGACAATGTATAATCAAACCTACAATGTATCTTTAATTTTTTCCATAGCTTGTCCAGTTTTGCACCGGAAAATCTCATTTTGCCCCGGATTACCTACCAGACAATCATGATACGAGTTATCTTCTCGGTGCAATCATTCAGAGTAATGATGTTCCTAACATTTGAGACAAGCATAATAGCTCAACAAGCTATCTTTCTACTTACACGACTCATTGCACGTGTAAACCGCTGAAAATGTCCCGTTTTGCCCCCCCCCCTATGGTCTATGATGTCAATGTCCGTACTTCATCTACAGAGTGAGCTTATATAGTTGACTAATTTACACACAAACACTGAATGGAAAGGGAACGAAGAACCATCCATCGTCAAAGATATTATAATATTTTATATTAAGAGAGCATGTGAAAGGCTAATAGCCCTAAAAGTAAGAATGTAATTATACAGAACAAGGCATTAACATGACAAAATGTCACCACCTAGTTGCTCACCAACTTGTAGGTGATTTTGAAAATATAGTCAATTTGATGCAAGTTCAAAATAGACTTGTTTGACCCTAAGAAGGGCGTTGGAGATGAAATCTCAATTCTAAATTCAAATTTGAACTTCTGATAACTCGTAGATGATTTTGAAAAAGTAAATCGGTCAATTTGAAGCTGAAAACATTTTGACCTTTTCGACTTTGAGAAGACAATTGAAGGTCAAACCTTAGTCAGATATGAACTTCTGATAACTTGTAGATGATTTGAGAAAAAAATTAAGTCTGTCTCAATAGTATTTGTTAAAGTTATTAGAAGTTGTAAGAATTTGTAACTACGCCAACCACCAACCACCAACCGCCATTCCAACCGCCGTCACAAAAAGAGACCCAACAATATGTCATCACTTTTAAAGGAATAAAGAATTTAGTATCATTCTTTATTGGAACTTTAAAAGCATGAGTGCATGTCTATATTATATACTAACCTGTACAAATGATGCACGAGGGTGGAGACCGAGTATATTATCAAGATTGACAAATGCATGCATGAATGCTTATAAATAAATGATACGGGATTCTTTATTGCAATTTAAATATATTAGCACTTTTTTATAGAAAACAAACTAGTTCATTTCCTTATGAAACCATAATGCACTGTGATGACGTCACACGTTTACTAGTAATGGCACTGCTCAGTTTATTATGAAACTATTGCACTGTAAAACAGCCCAGTTGGCCATATTCTTTGAATTAATGCACTAAAATACTCCAAGTTGATTCCA